CCAAAAGCCCTATAAAATATAGCCAGAGGGACCTTTTTTCAATATCATAAGAAGTATCTGTTTAAAACCAAAAGCAAGTATCACATGTAACCAAGATACACTAAAACCCTGCCCAATAAATTCAGCAGCAAAATAAGGATGTCTACTTTGCCCAATGGAGGTAGTTGAGGACCTTGGACCCATGAGCCTTGGGAATAGCAGTGTCTCTTAAGACTACTCCTTTTGCCTCCAACTCAGCCCCAACAGCTATCATCCTGGGAAGCAGCCCTCATGGAGATGTGACCTAGAAAGTTACAGGTGCTGGAGCTATAATTACTGAAGATCCAGAAAAGAAAATTGTTGCCACCAAAAGCCTTAGCACTGTGAAATGGTTCCACCTCAGAAAATAATAGAATTTTATCATTGGAAATGACATTAAAAAGAACATTACCACCTGCTTTGCAGCTATATCCCAAGGACATTTCTATCTTCTTTGTATCTGAAATCTTCCAAATGTGTTGTCTTCCCATCAGAATGTGAGTTCTTTGAGAGTAGGGATTCATTTACTTTTCTGTTTGTATCCCCAGAGGTTAGCACAGTGCTTTGGACATAAGTACATAATGCTTTTTTCACTCATTCATATGCTATATAAACTGCTTGCAAAAATAGAGAAAAAGGGTACCTTATTGAATTCTATGAAACAAAATTTTTTTCTAATACCTAAACCAGGGAGAGAAAAATTAAAGAAAATTATGGACTAATATCACTAACATTTACATAATACTTTAAATTTTCAACTCTCTTTACTCACATTTTCTTATTTGGGCCTCACAGCAGACCTGTGTAAGAGGTAAGTAGGGGTATTATTCCCATTTTACAGTGTAAAATTCAAATAAAAATAACAAATAAAATATTATCAAAGAGCATATTAAATTACCTGAAATACTAAAGTATTAGCAAAGATTAGCAGTATATTCAAGAAATTATTTGATATGATCAGATTGAATTAATACAAAGAATGTCAGGATGGTTCAACATTAAGCAAACTCCAAATATGATATTAATAACAAAATTAATTAAAACAATGTGATTATATTCTGTAGAGACAGAAAAAGTCTCAAAAAAAATATTGTATCTGTTTTATGTTAAAGATTTTTTAAGGGAATAAAAGGATCTTTCCTTAATATGACCAAAAGTATCTGTCTTAAATCAAGAGCTAGTAATATTTGTAATGGGAAAAACATGGATGAGAAGAAAGAAGGGTGATTAAAATTAAAAAACAAAACACTGAAAGCCCCAATAAGATCAGAGTTAAAACAAGGTCACTCATTGTTTCCACTTTTATTTGACATAGTGCTCAAAATGAAAAGAAGAAAGACTTTGAAATTGGGGTAATAAGCATAAGCAAAGAAGAGGTAAAATTATCTCTATTTGCAGATAATCTGGTCTATTTGGAGAACCCCAGAGAATACATGAAAAAAAATAGTCTATAGCTAGTAGGTTTACTAAAGTGTTAGAATATAAAGTAAATTCATAAAATTAGTAGATATTCTGTATATGTTACTAAAAAAAAAACTAGAGGAGACATAAGAGCATTTAAAAATGTGTTGAATATATGAGAATTAGCCTACTAAGCTGTGTCTTACATAGATATGATAAAATAATTTTTACCTAATAAAGTATGTAAATTTTATATGTAAATAAAATAAAATAGCATAATAAAATATACAAAGTAAAAGAACACCTTAAACAAGTTGAAAAAGATTTCGTATTCTTGGCTAGTCACATATAGTGAAAAGGATGATATTCTATAGATTTAGTATTATACCAATCAGATCATCAGAGGAATATTTTATAGAATTAAAATAATAACAGTTAATTTGGAGTAATCAAAGGTCAAGAATATCAGGAAAGAGAAATTTAAAAAAGGAAAGAGGCTGTTGTTGGCACTACCAGATCTCAAATGATGCTATAAAGTAATAATTACCGAAAGTAAGTGGTATTAGATTAAAAATAGAAAAGTAGATCAGTAGGATTGACCAGATAAGCAAGCTCGGGAAACAAACATGTGCAGCAATTAGCCCTAAAATAAAACAAGGTCCTAGGGAAGGGATTGCTTCCTCAACAGGAACTATGAAGAAACTGAGAAGCAGTTTGGTAGATTTAGATTTACATCAACATTTTATTATACCATGCACCACAATAACTTCCAAACCAGTAAATGGACTTCTATGTAAAAAAAAGTCAAAGTTTTGTTGTGGGTTTTTTTAGTAGAATAGAATGAAATGTTTTATCTTTTACTATTATAGTTAGTGAAAGAATTTGTAACCAGAAAAGAGATTTTAAAAAAATCATCAAAGACAAAAGGTGTAATCTAAATTATTTAAAATTTAAAACACAAAAAAATATAAAATCATTCCAACAAGAATCAGAAAAAAAATACATGTAATAGGAAAGAAAATCTTTGAATTAAATAACTCTGCTAAGTCTGTTGTCCAGTTTCTATATGAAATTGACACACATAATGATTGAGCTATTCCTCAATAGGCAAATGATTAGAGAAACATGTACACTTCTCAAAAGAAATGCAAACTATGACTACCTAAAAAATATTCAAAATCACTAATGAGTGGAGCAATGTAAATTAAAACAAACCAAAGGTACCACCTTAGTTACACTCATTAGGCAAACAAAGACTAAAAGATAGCGAGTGGAGGGAAGGGGAAGAAATTTATTTAAAGGGTGGTAAAAAGATCAGCAAGCTTCATTGCTAGTAGAACTGTGAATTGTTTCAACCATTCTGGGAAAAAAGTATAACTGTACAAGAACAGTTACTAATTTTTCATGCCCTTTGACCCAGAGATCCCATTACTGGTACTATATATCTGAAGAAACAAGGAAAAAAACAACTAATTTGTACACTAATGTTCATATAAAGCACCATTACTTGTGATAACAAAAAGCTGAAAACAAAATATGTGCTGATTGGGAAATGTCTGAACAAATTATGATATATGAGTCTAATGGAATATTACCATACAACAAATATGAAGAAGCCAGAGAAATAATGAGAAGATTTGTGAAATAATGAGATTTGTGTGAAACGATGCAGCTTGAAGAAAACTGAGCCAAAATACCAGTGTACACAATGAGTACAGTAGAAAGAAAGTCCATATAGAAAGACATAAAAATTCTGGTCAGCTGTGACAGTCAGTGTTAGCTATCGTACTGCCAAAAGTTAAAAGCCACATCTTTGTTTTCTGTTATTAATCAAAATGTTTTCTAAAAGGGTTTGTTGGAAAGTATCTTGCATCAGAACAGTGTATATATCATGAAATTTATTTTGAAGAATAACATCAGACTTTTTTATACCTGCTCCAAATGTGGTGGTGGTGTATTTCTTTTAATGGGATTTATTTCTTTTAATTTTATTAATAAAAATACATTCCCTGATCAGGCAGGAAACTGCCAACTCTTAACACATCCTACTGTTTTATTTCCTTATTAACAGGAGTTGGTTTTATCTTAAATCACAAACTCAAACTAGATGTATTAGTAATGGTAAAAAGATAGAGTAGTTCTATTTGATAAATCCAAAGACTCCAGCTTCTGGGATAAGAACTCACTATTTAACAAAAACTGCTGGGAAAACTGGAAAATAGTATGGCAGAAACTAGGCATAGACCAACATCTTATACCCTAAACCAAAATAAAATTAAAATGGGTACATGATTTAGATATAAAGACAGATACTATAAGCAGACTAAGAGAGCAAAGAATAGTTTACCCATCAGATCAAAGGGAAAAATTTTTGGCCAAACAAGAGATAGAGAACATTATGAAATGCAAAATGGATGACTTTTATTACCTTAAATTGAAAAGCTTTTGCATAGACAAAGCCGATGTAACCAAGATTAGAAAAGAAGCAGAAAGCTGGGAAACAATTTTTACAACCAGTGTTTCTAAACCGTATAGAGAATTGAGTCGAATTTATAAGAATACAAGTCATTCCCCAATTGATAAATGGTCAAAGGATATGAACAGGCAGTTTTCAGAGAAAGAAATTAAAGATATCTATAGTCATATGCTCTAAATCACTATTGATTAGAGAAGTACAAATCAAAACAACTCTGAGGTACCACATCACACCTATCATATTGGCTAACATGACAAAACAGGAAAATGATAAATGTTGTAGAAGATGTGGGAAAATTGGAACGCTAATGCATTGTTGGTGGAGTTGTGAACTGATCCAACCATTTTGGAGAGCGATTTGGAACTATGTCCAAAGGGCTATAAAAATGTGCATGCCCTTTGACCCAGCAATACAACTTCTAGATCTATATCCCAAAGAGATCATAAAAATGGGAAAAGGACCCACATGTACAAAAATATTTTTAGCAGCTCTTTTTGTGGTGGCAAAGAATTGGAAATTTAGAGGATGCACATCAATTGGGGAATGACTGAACAAGTTGTGGTATATGAATGTAATGGAATGCTGTTGTGCTATAAGAAATGATGAGCAGGCAGACTTCAGAAAAACCTGGAAAGACTTAAATAAACTGATGCTGAGTGAAATGAGCAGAACCAGGAGAATGTACACAGTAACAGCCACACTGTGCGATAACTGACTTTGATAGACTTAGCTCTTCTGAGCAATGCAAGGATCTAAAGTCTCATGTTGGAAAACACTATCCACATCCAGAGAAAGAACTGTGGAGTCTGAATGCAGATGGAAGCATACTATTTGCTCTCCTTTTGATTCTTCTTTCTTGTGCTTTCTCCCATTGGTTCTAATTCTTCTTTACATCATGACTAATGTGAAAATTTAAAAACAAACAAACAAACAAAAGAAGACAGAATAGTTTATGTTCCTAAAGGGGAAAAATGCTAAACACAAGTCAAAGAGTAGCCAAATGGAAGAGACGGAAACTGGACTGTAAAACTTAGTTTGAGATACATTATTTATTCACTTTATAAAATCAAAATGAACATTGACTTGACTTTTTCGGTTTTGACAGATCCAAGTTGATGAAGTACAGAAGCTGGTGTATTTTGAAGGCACCAAAGACTCCCCTTTAGAGCATCACTTGTATGTGGTGAGCTATGATAATCCTGGAGAGGTGACAAGGTTGACAGATCGTGGCTACTCACATTCCTGCTGTATTAGCCAGGTATTAACTCCTGTCTGAATGGTTCATAAAGACCCTGTCCATATATTGAAGTAAGTAAAATTGGATTGTGTAGCAATTTAACTCTTAGGCACATTAAACTTAACATTAAACGTCTCCCTGAAGGTATATATTATAGGATCTTAAAAAGTTAAACCATTATTCTGTCCCCTGCCATAGCATAGTGTAGGTCAAACAGAATTTGTCTAATTCATATTTTAAAATCTCTTTTTATGATACCATGGAATGAAAAAAAAACACAAGGAAATGATTGTCTCTTTTCCCTTTTTTCAGCATTGTGATTTATTTATAAGTAAATACAGTAACCAGAAGAATCCACACTGTGTGTCCCTTTACAAGCTCTCAGGTCCTGAAGATGACCCAGCACGCAGAACAAAGGAATTTTGGGCCACTATTTTAGATTCAGCAGGTACTCGATTTATTTAAATTTGACATTAAACAAGAACAGTGAATTGACTAACTATACTTGTATTATATGTCTATACACTGTTGGGCTGATCTTTCTTTTTCTCATTGTCACCACTTAGTTTATTCTGTGAGCTGCTAGGCTTTTAATTAGTTCCACCTTCCCCAGAGTATCTGTTAAATGAGATTAGATGGCCACCACCTACATTTAGCAGAAGTGGATCTGGGAAGCATTTTTGAAAATAACATTAGAAAAGTTATGATAGATGGGAGGAAGCTTCCTGTGCTTATAAATAGCTGTTTCATTTCCTAGATGAGCAAAAGGAGAAGAAAATGTGTGCTGAACTAAACACTACCTGCCCTTTCAATAAAGCTTTCTGGCCAGGAAGGTTGCATCCTTGGGGGAAAAATGTAGCAAGTGATTACCTTCAATGCATATAGAACTTCTTTGTGACTGCTGGGTCATGATGCCTGAGGACTATGTATCCATTTAAATGATTCGATGTCCTAAGAACAAGATATAGTCTTATTTTAGCACCTTTTGAACTTGCCTTGTTCCAGAATTCTTTTTCTTTGTTTATGCATATGTATGTATGTGTGTATATATATATATATATACTCCAAGTTACTAGTGTACTTAATTCACATAGAAGAATTCATAGCAATACAACTTAATTTCTACTGGATTATAATGCAAAGAAACTTTTTGCCTCTTTAGGTGGAGATGAAGGCTAGATGTGTATAACCTTAGGGAACCAAATACGATTTTGAAATATTCCACTTGGTCATTCAGTGGTGGAAATAGCAAAACTAGTGCTGGCTTGACCATCAAAGTAAGCTACACTGAACTTGACACAGTGTATTGTTCACTTCTGGTCCAATTCACAGTTGCTTTGTGTGTGGATACTTGACTTTAAATGCCTTTCTTCTGTGCTTCCAGAATCATACAAAACATATTTCCCCTCCTGATGTGGGTCTTTTGATATGTTCATTAGAATCTTTCAAAAATGAATGCTCTTGCTTCATTTTCAGCCTACCAGTTGAAGAGGGTGGGCAGTTATTTGTGTGTGTGTGAGAGAGAGAGAGAGAGAGAGAGAGAGAGAGAGAGAGAGAGAGAGAGAGAGAGAGTGTGTGTGTGTGTGTGTGTGTGTGTGTGTGTGTGTGTGTGTGTGT